CAGGACTCTTGATAGACCCAAGAGGGACATCGATCGTGAAGCAGGATCAAACGGGGATCGATATCAGTCCTATAATGGAGACCGAATGAGTAGTGGGTCAGGACGGAACCTCGTGAGGAACGACAGGAGAAGTGATCGAGGTCGAAGCAATCGGGTGCTCATGACCAAAAATGGCTTCGACAGGACCATCGGACCCAAAGAAGTATCAAGGCTATCAGAGTACAACTTTAGTGTCGATGCTGCCGCCATCATATCTGCTATCGGGCGCATCAGTGATACCAAATGGCCTCGACCTCTACAATTTGAGCCATCTCAAAGGGACCCTAACCAGATGTGCAAATATCATGGCACTCACGGTCATAGAATGAAAGATTGTCGACAGTTGAGAGAAAAAGTAGCCTGTTTATTCAACAATGGGCACCTTCGAGAATTCTTGAGCGACCGAGCCAAGAACCACTTTAGAAACAGGGATTCTAACAAATAGACAGGACAAGAAGATACCGAACCTCAACACGTCATAAATATGATCATCGGTGGAGTCGATATCCCACAAGGGTTGGTGTTGAAACGCACCAGAATCTCCATCACCAGGGAAAAACGAACTCGAGACTACATACTTGAAGGAGCCTTATCCTTCAGTGACGAGGACGCAAAAAGGATCATACAACCTCACAATGATGCACTGATAATATATGTATTCGTAAATAAAACTAGAATCAAACGTGTGTTAATTGATCTAGGTAGCCCGGCCAACATTATTCGATCGAAGGTCGTAGAACAGCTCGGTCTGCAAGACAGGATCGTACCAACAGTACGAATCCTAAACGGGTTCAACATGGTATGTGAAACCACCAAAGGAGAGATAACATTACCGGTCAACTCCGCCGAAATCATACGAGAGGCCAAGTTTTATGTAATCGAGGGGGACATGAGGTACAATGCCCTTCTCGAAAGACCATGGATCCACCACATAAGGGCGGTACCCTCAACTTTTCACCAAATGTTAAAATTCCCAATCTCATGAGGGATCAAGACAATATACGGGGAACAACTAGCCGCTAAAGAGATGTTTGTCATCAAAGAAGTAATACCGATATCAACGCCCACAACACCGAAGGAGCCGAATTCTGGCACTGATCCAAAAGCCAAATAGCAATTACCGATTCTGGTGACGATCCGATCAGATAAGCAAAACACTTACGAAGACGATGATTATGGGGTTCGCCGATCTTTTATAATCCTCGATGACTCCGACGTAACCAAATCAATGGTCGAAGAGCTGGAGCAGGTTGTATTAATCGAGCATTTGTCCGATCGGAAGGTATACCTGGGCACGGGATTATTTCCCGAGCTGAGGAAAAAAATTATTCAATTTCTTATATTTAACATAGATTGTTTTGCTTGGTCCCAACTTGATAAGACATGGATCCCACCAGAAATAACCACTCACAAACTAGCATGGACCCGAAAATTAATCCGGTGAAGCATAAGAGGAGGCCCCAGTCTAAGGTCAAACATGCTTCATCAATGACGAGGTATCTAAACTCCTAAAAATAGGGTCCATTCGAGAGGTTAAATACCTAGATTGGTTAGCAAACGTAGTGGTAGTCCCTAAAAAGGGAATAAATTAAGAATGTGTTTATATTAGAAAGATTTGAATAAGGCATGCCCCAAAGACTCTTTTCATTTACCTCATATCGATCGTATGATCGATGCCACGGCTGGCCACGAGATTAATTAACCCTCCTCGGTAAAGTCGAGGGTTGTACAGGCACATGAGATGGTCGATGGTGAATGGACATCCCTCGACCTTGCTCATAAAGAATCGAAGCAGAATAACGATCCTCCAAAATGAAGGATGCATCTGCCCGAGCATCACATCATACCTTTTGCAAAAAGCTATGATAACCCGGTCCAGAGGACCCAACGTGAAAGGGCAAGTGTAAACACTTAAGAAACCCTCCACGTGGGTGGTGATTGATTCTTCGGAGGTATTAACCACTACGAGTTTGTCTACCCAGTTGCAGTCCTCTTTAACTTTCTCGAGGATGCTGTTTGAAATCGTACACAAGTACCTCGAAACCAGTTCACGTCGACCCGGTACCATGGGCGTATTCTCAACCTTGAAGTTATCTACAGTAGGGCACCTAGTAGGAATATATGATCTCAGAAGAGGTTCCTCAGTAACAACGTTAGAAGTATTTTTAGAAGGTCTTGAAGAAGAAGGTGTTTCTTTTTGGGGAACAGATTTTGAAGATTTTATCATTTTTATGAAGGAAAGAGATTGTTGATAAGGGGAAACTTTGAGAAAACCAGAAGATGAAACAAGATGAAGTTCTTAGAATGCAAGAAGGATTTGAGCATAAAAGTTCTAACAAACGGATTAAAGAGTATTTATAGGTTCCTCAAGCGGCGGTTCATCTCCCGAGGTAGCCGATCGTCAACTGGCATACATTTAATGCCTCGAAGACTGAACTGACGGGACGTTTCCACTATTCTTATCACCTACGTCATGTACCCGTCGTCATGATTTATGGAAGTAAGGACCGGGGGTTCATATCATTTTTAATTGCTTACTCTCCAAAAAAAGAAGGGACTATCTGTATACGGGTAGAACCGAGCTTAATACTCAATCGAGGCATCTGAAATAATGGGTCAAGGCTCGGCACCTACATAGGAGATCGAATGTACCGATATAACTGAGCTCGACATCGAGGGTCAAAGTTTGAACGAGACCATCAGATTTTCCCTCGAGCTTATCGGAGAGCACGACCGACTCCGCTTCTAAATGGCCTCAAAGAAAAGCTTCACCCACCCATACGACAAGTATCCATGATTCTCGCCATTGACCAATCATTATGGTAAAAATTACGGAATTAGGTCAAAAGGGGAGCCAACAGTCTACATAATTTATTATAAAATGTCTTTAAAGGTTTCATCTCCCCATATATATATATATATAATTCAATAGATATTGTAGCAGACTTAAAAGAACAATATACTATCTTTTTTCAGTTGTGTTCATATTATTTTGACAGCGATAATATTCTGGCATTATCTCTCCTAAATTGAAAGGAGGCTAATCCTACGAGGCTTAATTTATTCAATCTGCATGGTTTGTATTTATTTTTTCTATTTATTCTTTCGTGTTAAATCTGATTTCTCATTTTGTATCAAATTAGATCACGTATCCTAAAACCACGTATAAATTCAATTGTTATCCAATTTTCGGGTAAATAAAAGTCAAGTTATTCCGAGACCAAACTTTATGTTCTATTATAATATATATTTTTTATAACAGTCATTCACTATAATATTCAAAAATATTCAGAACAAACGAATATATTATAGAGAGGTTTGACTGTAGTCACTAATATTATAAATCTTACAAGTGATACAAAGGTTAGAAGGAGAAGAAGCTCGTAATTAGAGTAAAAATGCAATAAAATTAAAAACTTTTATAATATATGAGATTCAAATCGGTCAACGTGGAGTCAAGCATCTCTTAAACGACGATTTAGCACTCTGCCGTCGACAATACCCACAACCTGGCAATTTTCTACAATCAAAATTAATTTCACAACGGTCCCAACAACGTTGAGTATATGTAAGACTATTTGGTAGCAGAACCTTTTCAATAAACTCTACTTCAAAAGGTATGTCTCGCAAAGCCATTGCTCGAGTGTTTGAGGACGAAAAAGAATGTACTGCAATATAACAAGAGTTTACGTTATATATATATTGTCGACAGTACAAATAAATATTTATACTAATTTACAAAGGGACTAAAAAATGATGAAGTTACTGACCTGTTAGTACCACAAGGAGAAAACAAAAAAAGAAAGAGAGCTTGTGAGATAGGCACTTTTTAGTCATGTTAACAAGAGTTTGGAGTGGGAGCTGATTGTGAGAAGAAGAGCTAATTACTTGTGTGAGTGGATTTTCTTGATTGATGAAAGGACATATATAAACCCTCAAGTTCTAAAAATATAATAATATATCTATCTAAAAATCTTTACTATCCACTGCTAATGTCCTTACAATATACTCCCTCCATTTCAATTTTATTCGAAATTTAAGAAAAAAAGATTTTTTAAATTTGTAGTCTTAAAAATTTAAGGGCTAAAAGTATTGTGGGGTCATGATATTTGTGTGGTTACTAAAAATTTCTCATTAAGGGTAAAATGGGTAAAATAAAGAGTTTAAAGTTGAATTATTTCCAAATCTAAAAATATATCATTTATTTTGAAACAGACTAAAAGGAAAATAACTCATCTAATTTGAAAATGAGGAAGTAGTATATTATTTGTTATTAAAAGTCAATGTTCTTAGGTGATTCCATAGTAAAGCCACCACTAAAATAAAATTTAATGGATCAAAGGCGAAATCGAAATTTCAAGTTTATGAGTTCGAGATTTTAATCACCTTAAATTATAGTATTCTAAATTAGTAATTTATATATATTCAATAATTTTTTTAAGACAAATATAATATTCGAACAAAAGCTCTCACTCGAGCTCCGCTCCTCACTTGTAATAGATCAAAGAAAAGCCGCCGTTAAAATAATATATTTTATGTCTATCTCTACACAATTACTTTTTTTTTTAAAGATAAATATAATATTTGAACTAAAGCTAACGAGTTCGGCGGCTGAACTCGTTCTGTCGCTCCTGCTCCGCTCCTCACTTGTAATAGATCAAAGAAAAGCCGCCGATAAAATAATGTATTTTATGTCTATCTCTACACAAGTGCCAAAAGCACTTTTAATTCTTTATTATAGGCGGTCTTTCACTTGAGCAACTAGTGCATTTTATAATCAATAAAATATTGTGCTATAATAATTGTTTACCAAACAATTATTAATTCTTATTATAAAAGTGATTCATCCTTGGCTGCTTTATATATTAGCAGCCGGAGAGAGAATGCACATGGGACACTAGCGATGGATAATATATAGTACTAGTTTTTAAGAAAGATATTTTCATATATTTAAGAAATTTTTAAAAACCTATATATATCCTTGGACTTTAATCAAGCAAGAAAATGCACTCTCACAATTAGCTACTCCAAACTCTGTTAAAATGGCTCACAAGTTAGCTTTCTTTTTTTGTGTTCTCCTTGTGGCACTAACTGGTGGGTAACTTCATCATCCCTTAGTCACTTTATATATATAGTATAATGGGATCTTTATATAGATATACTGTTTATTTTTCCTAATTTCTATAACATAAATTGAAAAAAAATTGAGTCGAAAATGTAATGATACGTATTATGTGAAGTTTTGGGATAATAGAGAAGGGAAAAAAATGGCAAAATAAAAACTACAAGGAAATATAATCGAATCTCACTCATTTTAAGCTAAGATTTACTTAGCTTGCTCCTGGCTCGCGGAGCAAAAAGAAAAGCGTTATCAGATTTCCATTGATAGGATTCATGGTTTAAACTTTATGGATTCAGATTCTCAATTCTACTCTCATCTCATCTAATTTAATGGGTTCAAAATTTATTATTTGTATATATTTAATGATTATTTGGGTAAAAATACAGGGTATGAGTGAAAGTTGTGTTCATATGAACCCATAGCTTATACAGTGGATACGCATCTGCCGCTATACATGAATCATACACTGATTATATACATTTATATGGATATTATATGAATTATACTTATGTTATTCATCTGTCGGTTGTTTTAAGTTTTAAGCAAATTGGTTGGTAGCTATTTAAGTTTATTCTTGGTATAATTATGTATTTCTACTTATATTAATTTGGTTGATCATGTTGTGCAGTTCATTCAAACACTGGGGCGATGGCTATGCGAAACCTACCTTTAGAAGCAGAAGAGGTGATTGAGCAAATTCTAGTGCCAGATCTTACTAATAAAAAAGGATGTTACAACCTCTGCAAATCTGATGCAAATTGCAATAACAGAGGTTCAGAGTGTAGGCAATGTCGAACGGCGCATAATCATTATGATATTACAATGAGATGCTATCCCAGGATTTGAATCTCATATGATAAAAATGATTTTACACAAATAGCCGGCCAAATTCATAAATGTGTTTTTTGTGGTCTTTTTATTTTTACTTGCTCCGTTTTAAGCTTTGTGTCATTTGTAAGGTAAAAAATACAAGTGACTATCTATTTTTTGTCCGAATAAATATGTGTTTTCGTATGAGTATGTTGTATTTTATTTATTTATTATTTCTTGTTGAATGAATTCTGTTCTTTTACTCCAAATACCTCGTTTCAAATTAAAAGAGTCCAAAACCTGCCTTTAATAATAACCAAATCCAACAGTTTCTTTTTAAGATATTTATAATTGTCATTTTTAAATTCTTTACAAATACGTACCCAATATTTATCTCATATACATGGACTATACATGAAATTAAGAAGCTAGCTGCCTAGTTGTTAGCCTAATGGTTGATAGCGCACTACAATTTTTCTTTTAAAAAAAGTTATAGAATCCTAGCAGCATAATGAGATTTACATGTCCAGTAACAGCAAAACATTTATATTCCATATAAAAATATAAAAGTAGGATTTACATAGAATACAACCTTTATAAGACTTATTTAAATAACTTACAACCACTTCTTGAAAATTACATATAATACAACCTATTTTAAAATCTTACCTTTTTAATTTAATTATACATAACTTTTCATTCCTATTATCTCTCTCTTAAAACTAGTTATTGAACCTAAAAAATAGGGATTATACCGATTAAAGCATATCACTACATTAAATTTAAAATTTCATATTTTTTCTCTCATCAAAATAATGCCACAAGTCTCTCCAGTTTCTTCAGAAACGGAATCATTCACAACTTGTCTTCTCCCCCACAATGTTATATACCGTATGTAGTATATTGATACTTATTTATATGTATACACTAATAAATTAAAGGTAGATTATATTAAATTGTTCTATGTATTTTTGCAAAGTGTTAATTAACATCTATATATATATATATATATA